CCGACTGCTACAAGAACGTCCATGGAGAGGAAAATCCTGTGTCGAAGTTCTGGTCGATGTTGCAGTGCATGATTGTGCCCAGTGCGTAGCTTCAGGAGTCAGGTCAATGCGAGACTCGAGAGACTCGAGACGCGGTGTGAGTTTGTTTCGAATTTTGTCTCGATTGGAGCTGCACAGTGATTTGTGCAGACACGGGGATGATGTCACCTCGAAGCAGATACTGCTCATTCTCCTTTTTCCCTCCCCCAGTTGCTGGCGGACTCATCCTCCTCCACCTACTCCCCCCTCCTCCTCCAAGTTCTGCTCCTCCTCCCTCCTTCACGTTCCTCCTTCTTCCCATCTTCCTCGCAAGGGAGCGCACCCAACTGTGACAGCCGCGGGGAGAGGAGGACGAGGAAAAGAGAAACAAAGAGGAAGACGAGGATAGTAGATGGCATGAGGAGTTGGAGGAGGTAGAAAGGGACCAGTGGGAGGAAGTGGAGGATGAAGGACCAGAAGGAGGAGCATTATGTGGAGGTTCGCCAGGCGTGGTCAGGGAAGGGGGTCCTCATATCTCATCATGCTACCCTCCACTACCCAACGTATGCCAATGCAACTACCTCCACCATTAATATTCCCACTGCCACTGCCAACGCTACCGCACTACCACCGCAAATTGCACTGCCAGACCGCCACTGCCATTACTATTACTACTGCGACAACTACCACTACCACTACCAACCACCACCACCACCACCACCACCACCACCACCACCACTTGTCTTTCGGTTGCGTAGCCCTTTTTTGGCTTAGGTGAGGTCATCCGAGAACCCACATGACTTCTAGGGCCCGTTCCAGGATTCTGGATTTGCCCTCAGCTGACCTGTCCAACCGTCCAGTCCGTGACGAGAACCATGGCGGCTTGTGGTCCGAAGAGAATAGATTCCTCTTGCCCGACATTCCTGTGAAGCGCCAGCGTGTCACATGGCACAAATACCCCACTGGCGTCTGGCTCTGCAAGCTCAAAGGCCTTCAAGCTGGGGGATCCAGAGTGGTAGCCGAGCCTGTTTTTTCGTCGCCCGCGTCTAGTGGCCGTGCGACTGCTACAGACACACCGTCGCCCAGGCCGACCAGTGCCAGTGCATCAGTTGTTGTGGAAGTTGTGGACCTCACATCATAATAGATTGATAGAGTACTCTCTCCCGGGAGAAACAGGAGCTGAAGCTGAGTGAAAAACTCAGAGACGCCGCACCGCCATCATCGTCGTCAGTTCGCCGATGTCGTCGCCGCCGCCGCCATCGTATCCCTCATGTTGCTGCTTTTCCTCTTCGGTCTCCTCTGCTCCTGCGCTTGCTGCTGCTCCTCCTCCTCCGCCTCCTCCCCCCTCCCCCCTCAGGACAATCGGATAATATGGGTGTGCGAATCGAATCGAATCCACCTCCCCCCGGTGGGCCCTGCGTCCTGGGCGGGCTCCTGACGGCTGACGGGCCCTGAGTGCGAGGAAACACGAGGAGGAGCAGGGGGAGAAACGTGAGCAGGAGCGGGGGCACGAGGACGAAGGAGGAGCGCCAGGGGAAGAGGGAGAGAAGGAGGAGGAGGAGGAATATGAGGAGATCTTCTTGGGGTATCCAAAGCGGTCGTGGGTCACGGCGAGGCGCGGGGCCCTGGCGGGGTTATCTGAGGCGTTCGGTGAAAATTACTAGTACCGCCATTGCAGATTTGACCTCCCGGAAGGGATCCAGAGGGATGGGGTCCGGAGGGATGGGGTCCGAAGAACAAGGTGCCTCAAGCAACGCAAATCCACCCTTGGATCACTTCCCATCCTTTGGCTCCCATCCCTCAGGACCCCACCTTTGAACCACCGACAATCTCGCCATCGTTCCCACGTCCATTCCCCGTGCTTTCCCCGGTCCCGCGCGATTCTTTCTCCGCAAGATGATCCACGATGCTGCTCGACGGCCCACGCCGACAAATCTTCACCCGAGCGGTGGGGGTATTTAGACGGGATGGGGGGCTTTTTTGACGGGAACGGGATGAGTCCTTGGACGGGAAGGGGGGGGGCCTTCGGACGGGAAGGGGGGGTCTTTGGACGGGATGGGAGAGGCTCTCTTGGCGGGAACGCAAAGGGGGGTCTATGGACTTGAACCCAGAGATCCGATGCCGTGATTTTTTCAATACGGGATTCCCGGCAGTCTCGACCCCTTTCCCCAGGACCGCTCCTCCATCCTGAGTCGCTTCTTGACGGCCCCGGGGCCCGGCGAGGGGCCCCTCGAGGCCGAAGAATGCGAAACACCTACATCTAAGTCGGGCGTGTCCCCCTACAGGAGGATTTTGTGCGAAAAATAAAAAGTACTCAAAACATACCCCCCAAATGGGCAAACATAGTTAAGACATCGTCCCAGACTATTTTCTGACTATTTTGGAATTTCCCCCCTGTAGAGGGACAGGCCCGACTGAATCCGAGGGAAACCAAGAGGTAGCAATACACCGCCACGCGCGCCGGGACCTCTGCCGTGGTGTCTTCTGACCAAGACTGTTTCGAGGCGAAAATCCAGCGGGTGGCGACGACGAGCGTCCCGGGAGGCCCACGAAGAGAGGCACGCGGCATCGAGGAGGCGTAAGACTCAGGTCACGGGGGATTCGGGTTGGCCCGACGGGGCCCCGTCGGATCTCCCCAGTATTTTTTGACTATTTTTGAATCTCCCCCCTGTAGAGGGACAGGCCCGACTGAATCCTGCGTCTTGATTTTTTCAATGCGTTGCATCTCTGGGAGGGGACCCCCAGGAGGAGGAGAAGGGGGAGGAGGAGGGGGAGGAGGAGGGGTATGAGGGGTAGGAGGAGGAGGAGGAGGAGGAGGAGGAGGAGGAGAGGTAGGAGGGATAGGAGGGGTAGGAGGAGGAGGAGGAGGAGGAGGAGGAGGAGGAGGAGGTGGAGGAGGATCTCAATACGTTGGATCTCTGGGAGGGGGCGCGTGCAGCAGCTCGTCACCCCGGCGAGCGGTGCCGCGCAGCTCGCCGCCCGAGCGGGCCTCGCCCGAGCGGGCCTGCGCTCCGCGGCCCCCCCGCGGCGCGCCCCCGCCCAGGGGCGAGCCGGCCCGCGCGGGGCCCCGAGGCTCGAGGTCCCGGGCGCGAGGGCCTCGAGGGCCTGAAGGCTCTCGAGGCTCTCGAGGCTCTCGAGGCTCTCGAGGATATCAAGGATCTCGAGGCTCTCGAGGATATCAAGGATCTCGAGGCTCTCGAGGCTCTCGAGGCTCTCGAGGGTCTCGAGGCTCCAGGCCGCGAGGCCGCGTGGCCGCGAGGGCCGCGCGCAGCGAGGCCCCGCGGGGCGGGGAGGGGGCTCGGGCAACACCTATGGGGGGGGCGATAAATGGGGGGGGGAACCCTCGATGCCCGCCCTCGTCGTTCCCGATCGTGCACCCTTCGGGGCGTACGTACCTCTCTTACCTGCAACGTGTGTGTGTGAATGTGTGTGTGTGTGTGTTTCGTGCAGCCCCTAGGGCAGGGAAAGAGAGGACGGACGGAAGGAAGGGACAAGGGGGAGGGAGGAAGATGAGAAAGGTGCTCACTTCGGCCCCAAATTTGGACGCCCGAAATGGGCACGATGCCCAACAAGAAGTGAAGTCCAAGACCGACAGCGGCCGCTGTTAGGCAAGCGGCCTTCTGTCTCAAATGAACAACGGCCGCGGCGACGTCGACAACGAACCCTGACCGGAACGAGGAAAGAACTGCATGCTGTTGGACTCTGCGCCCATTGTTTTCGTACCCATTTCGCTCGTTCTGGCTGAAGGCCTCCTCTTGGGGCCCGAAAGGGCTCCTGCAGGGGCCCTAGGAAGGGCCGGCCCCTCTTCTGCGGCACTCGCTGCCCCCCCAACCACCTCCGCACGGTTGGCTCCCTAGCTCGGGCCCGCGGCTGCTCGGCACGACCCGGGCAGCCCCCCGAACGCTCCACAGCGAGGCGCAGCTGCTGGGACGCGCCCCGAGGCTGTAGCGCCGACGACGGCCGACGAAACCTCCGAACGCCTCGGCCCTGGAACTTCGAAGCCGCGCAGTGTGGTCACCGCCCCATGACCCAGAAATCCCACGTCGTGTTTTTTTCCACATGTGAAGGGGCCCCAGGACACACAGATAAATACACACAAATAAAATGATCCCCCATATTACCTTATATGTTTTGAGTCGTTCTCTGCCCCCCCACTTCTCATAGTTTCCCATATTCTCTGCGGAACCGACCATGAATTGTATCTGTGTGTTTTTTCTCCCCTCCTGACATCTGCGGGTCCCCGGATGCCTCGACCCATCATTCCCCAGGTCCGCATTCTCCTCCGGCGTGCGCGACGGCCCCGGGGCACGGCGCATGCCCCCATATATAGAGAGGCCGAAGAGTGCGACACCAGCGGAAGGGGCCCTGAGACACACCAATAACTACACCAAAATAAAAGGATCCCCCATATTTTCCCATATTTTCTGGGTTTCTGTCTTCCCCCCCACTTCCCATATTTTCACATATTTTCGGGGGAATCGAGGATTAATTTTGTCTGTGGGTTTCTTTTCCTCCTGACCAACTCCGCCTTGGTTTTTCCCGTGCGCCGGATCTCTGGGTGCATCGCCCCCCCCCCCCCGTTCGGCGACTCCAAAGGGTGCGGCTTGCAACCGGCACCCTGGGGAGCAGCCTGGGGGGCGCCCTTGGGGGGGGCGCGCGGGGACCTCGATGGAGTTCTCGCCCCGAGGAGGCTCGACGAGGACAGCGTCGTGCCCCCCAGGCCCCAACGTTGCCGAGGGGAAACCAGACCCCGGCGCAACCATACCTCGGCGGTGGACAGACCTCCCTTTAGCAAACCTCCCTTTAGTGAAACCGGCCCAAGACCGAAACCGGCGGACCTCGACCCGCAAAAAGAACGGCCACGACGCCCTCTCGCGAACCGGAAACGGCCAATTCACTGATCGACGCGTCAGGGTAGGAGGCCTGCCAACCGTCTCCGAATGCCCTTGTAGTCGCCGGCCCGTGCGCGGCGCCACCTTTTCCGGCGCCGCACGCCGCCGCCAGCCCGCCCTCGGCGAGCACCGGGGCGGCGCCCGTCGCGGCCGCCCTGCCCGGCAGCGCGCGGGCGCGGCCGGCCCGCAGACGCGGCGGGGCGGGCATCGGGATCCACCAGAAAGGGGGGGGACCTCATGAGGACAATTCTTGAAGCCTCGCGCGGCAACTCGAGACCCGATGTACGTCGGATCGTCGTCGGAATTGCGTCGGGTTCACGTCGGACTGCGTCGGAATGACGTCGGATTTACGTCGGACTGACTCTCGAACATCGCCGCGAGCGTCGATCCATAGGTTACGGAGCTGATGTGTGGACCAGATCATACCACTATTACGCGCCGCGCGAGGCCTCCAGGATTTTCCTCATAAGGGACCCTGAGGGGAGGCGGGTATCGGAATACACCAACCCAGAGATCCAGCGCATGGAAAAACCATGCGTTGTTTTGTCTTTTTACCTATATATGTATTATATATATATATGAATATATATATATATATATATATATATATATGTGTGTGTGTCTGTATGTGTATATCTATATATATATATATATACACACACAGGCCCTCGCAAGGCCCCGGGACCGTCAAAAAACGGCGGAGGATGAAAAACCGGCCCTGGGGAATGGGTCGAGGCTTCCAGGGACCCCACATTGAAAAAATCACGACGTCGGATCTCTGGGTATCGGGATCCACAAAAAGGAGGGGCGGGTGTTAAAGCTGCAAAGGGCAGCAAACGGCAATCTAGTGGGCCTGCTCCTAAGTCCCAGGGCAAGCGCGCGAGCGCCGCTGACCTCCGCAGGGCTACTTTATTCATCTGCGCAGAATTCAAAATAAACTCGCTGCTTTTCGAAATCGTTTTTTCTCGCAGGCCATCGGCGATCGAGCGCGGCCGCGGCGCGCCGCGATGTAGTAGTCGCGGCGGCGGCGACTGGCAACGATGCGTTCTGAATGTTCTCTCTGGCTAAAAACTCCAGGGCGGTCTGCGACTACAGGATAATCGCCTCGGTCGACCGGGCCCGCGCGGGGGGGCGGCGGCATTAAGTTGGGACAACGGGTCCCATCACCATCGAGGCTGCGAAAAGTCCCGCTCCAGGGCTTCAAATAACCTGACCCGCGCGGAACCCTGACTCTATCGGGAGTGCTCATGTACAGGAACGGATAGAGACACAACTGGCGCGCTTGCCAGGGAACATATGCTTCGCGAGTTCCGCGCCAGAGCGGAGAAACGGTTGTCACGACCCTGACGGCCATTGGCACGTCAAACCAACGCGCACCGCGCGTGGCCCGCGCAAGCAATTCGGCGGCGCACCGATGCAAAAACACCCAGTCCACGAGAGGGCGCAGGAGCGCTTTGCAAATCTATGTGGCACATGCTACATGTGCAGATACGGAGTACATGTGGTGTAAAAGGTAATGTTCAAGCTGGCGTAACCACGGTGTTTAAGTGGTGTTACAGTAATGTAAAGATGGTGTAACAGTGGTGCAAAACATGTAAATGTTTCGGGCTGTTGAATTCGTGTCCTCTGGTGCATTCCCGGACGCGGTTCCCAATCCCTGTGGGCCCCCCAGAACTGCACTGATTCATTACAATCCTATCCCAGACGGCTCCGCCGTAGTCCTGGGGGCGCGGGCGGGATCTCCGGGAGGCCCTGTCGTGCGCGAAGTGCGGGCTGGGGCAAATGTGGTGTACATGCCGTGTACATGTGATGTAAAAAAGTTGTGTGAAAGCGGCGTAAACAGGTAGTGCATAAATTGTGTATAAAAGTGGCGCAACACATGTTTGGTGTAGAAGTCGTGTAAAAGAGTGCACACATCGTGTATGTTCTGTGCACCTGTTGGGTATATGTCGGGCATCTTCGCGTGCTCAACCATGGAACCACAGTTCGCGGTGCGCGCGGTCACGACTCGCACCTCGGCGAGCGGAGCGGCGCGCGGCGCGGCTCGACGCGGCGCGCGGCGGGACGGCACGCTGCTCTACGAAGATTCACGACTTTGCGCGGCGGGCCGCCCGCGCGGAGCGGTGCGGCGCGACGGGGAGAGCGGCGCGGCGCGGCGGAGCGGCGAGGCGCGCGCCACGGCGCGGCGCGGCCCGCGGACCCGCGAGTTGGCACCCGTCGCCAACGCGTCGGGCGACGCTCGACGTGGCAGGGAGCGACGCGCGGCGTGGCGCGGCCAGCGCGCAGTGGGGCGCCGGCCGGCCCGCGGGTTCACAGGCTGATCGGACGCGACCCCCCATCAGGAGGTGCGCCGCGGAACCCCTGGCGCAATCGCTGCTCGAGGCATCAAACCACAAGCGCGGCAAAGTGCGTTTAGAACGTTCGAGTCATCAGGCGGCAACGCACCGCGCCGCCGGACTTCACATTTTCTTTTACGGAGATAAGGAAATGCTCACGTGCCGCCCTTCGCAGCCTTATCAGGAGCGGGTATCGGAATCCACCAGAAAGGGGGAGGGGTCCCTTTGGTGGAGCAGGTATCGGGATCCAACAGAACGGGGGGGGTCGGGTATCAGGACCTGCAAAAAAGTGGGTGTGACCTCCAGAGGGGGGGCAAGAGTTCGATCCGCTGGTGCGCCGAACTGCCGCAAACAGACAGATGCCCCCCCCGCGTGCCCCACCCATCAGCAACCATTGGGAGCTGCCTGCGGCTGGGGAGCATCGGGGATCTTCTGACCCGGGTCAATCCAGACCCCGGTCAGTCAGGCCTTGCAGAATCCTGCAACATCCTGCACCCAAACCCGGGTCAATGCGAAAAATCCTTCAAACTCCTGCAGGATCCTGCACCCAAATCCGGGTCAATGCGACCCTTGCCCTGCAGGATCCTGCAAGATCGGGCGCTCTGGCTGACCCCCGTTTGCATTGACCCCCGTCTCAATGCTCCCGAGGGCATCTGCCTTGGGCGGTCCGGTGCCAAATCCGATCGAACTCGCACCCCCCCAGGGGCACCTCCCCTTTGCGGGATCCCGAGGGTGACGGGGTGACGGGGGCGACGCTGCGAAAGAGCTTCGAGGGCTCACGGCTGGAGCCCCTGACGAAGACGAAGCCAGACTTAGGTCGGGCGTGTCCCCCTGTAGGGGGGATTTTTCAGGAAAGAAGAAGTTTTCAAAAAATATGCAAAAAAACTCGAGCATACTAAAAAATCATCCCCGGACAATTTTTCCAATTTTTGATGAATATTCCTCCTGTAGAGGGACACGCCCGACTTAAATCCAGACAGGACGAGGATCAATTCGGGGAAGGGCAGACGGTGTTTGGAAGCTTCGAGCCTCCAGAGGCTCTGGGCCTCGGGAGCATCCACAACCGACTCGGGACGAACAACGGAGCCTGGGGAAGTGGTCCAGACCTCCAGGACCTAAGCTGGGAACATCGGAGCAGCCTCATGTCTGGGGGATCAGTCTTACCCCCCCCAAAAAATGGATCCGATATCCTGGCTTCATCTCGTCCTCCAGCCTCGCGTCCTGGCTTCGTCTTATCCGATTCGACGAAGCCAGGACGCCAAGATAGATCAAAAATCTCGAAGATCCGGGAGCTCTGGAAGACGGCTCGGGCGCCACTGCCTTCTCAAAACGATCCAGATGCTCTGAGATCGTTCCGGAACGCGCTGGAACGGACTTTATCCTCGTCCTGGCCCCTCCTGCGCAGGTACACCAACCTCAGCCGCGAGCTCCAGCGCCCGCCTCGAGGTCGCTTCGAGGACCCCGAGGACGACGACGAGGACGACGAGGACGACGAGGACGACGAGGACGACGAGGACGACGACGAGGACGGCGAGGACGACGAGGACGACGAGGACGACGACGAGGACGGCGAGGATGACGAGGACGACGAGGACGACGACGAGGACGACGACGACGACGAGGACGACGACGAGGACGACGACGAGGACGACAAGGACGGCGAGGACGACGAGCACGACGACGAGGACGACGAGGACGACGACGAGGACGACGAGGACGGCGAGGACGGCGAGGACGACGAGGACGACGAGGACGACGAGGACGAGGACGAGGACGACGACGACGACGACGAGGACGAGGACGGCGAGGACGGGGACGGCGAGGACGAGGGCGAGGACGACTTGACCCCACCTTGCTGCGGCACCTTCCTCGCCGATGGGGGTCCGTCCGTGATGGTCCGTGCCTATAGGGTTGGCGAAGGGGGGGGGGGGGGCTGAGCATGGAGAATGGTTTGGGCAGTCTGCCAGCGCGAGAGGCAAGTCGAGGAGGAGGTCGAGGAGGAGGTCAAGGAGATCGAGGACGGGGGGAGGAGGGGGGGGAGGAGGTCGAGGAGGGGGGGAAGGAGGGAGGGAGATCGAGGAGGGGGGGGGAGGCCGAGGAAGGAGGTCGAGGAGGGGGGGGAGGAGGTCGAGGAGGGGGGCAGGCGGTGGGGGAGGGGGGAACGCGGCTGTTGGCTCGGCTCCCGCTCCCCCTCCTCCTCCCCCTCCTCCTCCTCCTCCTCCTCCTCCCTCTCCTCTCCTCCTCATCATCATCATCACCATCATCACATCATCATCATCATCATCATCATCATCACAGCAGCAGCATCATCATCATCATCATCCTCCTCTTCCTCCTCCTTCTCCTCCTCCTCCTCGTCCTCCTCCTCATCCTTGTTCCCCCCACAACACACACCAGCACCTCGAGTCCGAATGCGAGCTCTGCCACAAAAGCCTTCGGTGCATCCCCTTTGGAGTCCACGAGCCGTGCGAAGACTGTGCTAACATGGTCCGGGCGGAGGCGCGCGGCCTGCGCTACAAGGGCCTTCGGTGGAGCTCCCTATGATGCCACGAAGCGCATGAAGAAGAACTGAAATGGTTTGGGCGGCGGCAAACGGCCTGTGCTTGAAAAGCCTTCGGTGACGTTCCCTATGGGGCCACGAACCGTGACAGGGCGTGTTGACATGGTCCAGACAGCGCAACGCGGCCTGTGCCGCAAGTGCTTTCGGCGGGGTGCCGTATGGGACCACGGAGTGCAAGAGCTAAGAACTGTAATGGTGTGGCCAGCGGCATGCGGCCAGTACCGGACCAACAAAATTTCGGTCGAGCCCCCTACGGGGCAACGAACTGTGTAAAGGGGTGCTGGAGTGGATCGGGCGGTGGCCAGCGGCCTGCGCGACAAAACCCTTCGGCGCAGCATCCTGTGGAGCCACGAGCCGCGCGCGAGGTGTGTTGCAGTGCTCTCGGGCGTGCGCAACAGAAGCTTCTGGTGCAAACCTGTGTGAGAGGCCACGATGCGCCTGGCCATCACTCGGACGTCCATTCCCTGTGTTTTTTTGGTTTCGTGCGTGGTTTTTTCGCGACATGATCAAAGATGCTCCTCGATGGTCCTCGCCGAAGGAAAAAATACACACGTCCGAGCGATGCCAGGGCACGAGAATCGTGTTGAACATGTCTGGTCGGCGGCGCGCGGCCCGTGCAGAGAAGAAGCCTTCGGCCGAACTCCCGAAGGTGCCACGAGCTGTGTGAGTAAAGAATGGAAGCGGTCTGAGCGGCGGTGTGCGGCCTATGCAACAGAAGCCTTCGGCGGGGTTCCCCTCGGGGCCACGAGCCGCGTGGATAAAGAACTCGGGTGGGCTGGGCGGCGGCATGCGGCCTGGGCTATAAAAGCCGTCGGTTGCACTCCCAATGGGGACGCGAACCGTGTGCGAGGAGTGCTGGAAATGTGTAGGCGTTGGCAAGCGACCTGTGCTGCAAAGGCCTTCGGCGTAGCGTCTTATGGGGCTGCGAACCGAGCGAGGGGTGTGCTGACATGGTCTGGTCGGCGGCATGCATCCTCTGCTACAAAAGTGTCTGGTGGAATCCCCTTTTTTTTTATGGGGCCGCGAACCGCGTGTTGAATTGGCGCCGGGGAGCGGAAAGCGGCCTTTGCTGCAGGGGCCCTCGGCGGAGCCCTATGGGGCCACGAATCATTCGAACGGCGTAATTACGGGAACTTTTTTGGCGGAGACTGCGAGGCGAAGACCCACCACACAGGAGAGAAGAGGATAGATGATGAGGGACCGACGCGGTTTGGAGAAGGAGGCGGTGGCAGAGGAGGGGGAAGGCAGGGGAGGAGGCGCTCAGCGCTGCGGGTTCACAGCGAAGACCCAACAGACAGGAAGATGGGGAAAAAACGACGACCTCCAATATCTCCATCACACTGCTCGTCAGATGGCTCAAAAGTCTCCGCGTCGCCTCCAAAACAAACGAACGACGGCTCGAAGACAAACGGAATCCGCTGCAACGCATTCCCAGGGCTTCCATAACGGCTCATTGATCCCCCGTGGGGCACCAAAGAGTCGCCAAAATGCCCCCCGAGGGAAAAAAACGGAATCCGAATACGGCACTGCTTCAATACCTCAAGACAGCTCTAGGACGGCTCTCTGCAGGCCCCGCTCAGGCTCCACCAGCTCATTCTTGCGCACCCGGCGTGGCATAATCTGGAAGCAACATCGGTTAACCTCCCCGCCCACACCCCCAACGACACGACAACTCTGGGACCCAGGCAGCGCTGTGGATCCCCAGTCACAACGGACTCGAAGGCCCCCGGGGGCCCTGCCGAGCCCGTGCCAAGCCCCTCCAAACAAGTCAAAAACCACTGCCGAGAGGAGTCCGAACCCACCGCCGCGGGAGCGTCCGCGGGGGCCGCGGTGGGTTCGGGACCCCCTCAGCAGTCTTCCAGGATTCGGGGATGGACAGACCTCCCTTTAGTAAAACGTGGTTTAGTACAAACGACCTGAGGCCCAAACCTGGCGGGCGCAAGCCTGGAAAATAACGGCCGCGGCGCTCTCTCGAGATCCGAAACGAACAATTCACGAATCGACGTGTCACTGTTGGGGGTTCTGTCCACCCCCGAAGGATGCGTAAGTCCGGAGCCACCGCGCGAGGGGGAGTCCGGACCCGCCGCGGGCCCGTGGGAGCCCTCGCAGAAGCTCCCATGGGCTTCCCCGTGAGGCCTTCGGGCTCCCATCCCCAGCCATGCCCGCGGCCCCCGTCTCTGCTCCTCCTCCTCCTTCCCCTCCCGTTCTGCTCCTGCGCTCCCCTGGTCGACCCTTCCTCTGCTGCCGTCCGTCCACAGTGTCGGCTCCGAGCCTCCACAAAGTGCAGTGCAGCTGGGAAGCACTGCTCGCCCAACTTCTAAAACAACACTCTACTCTGAATGCCGCGCATCGGAGGCGCCAATCGCCCGCATCATCCTTCAAATCGTTACCCTGGCCATCAATCCTTCCCATCGTTCTGGTCCATACGTCCATATGCTCTGGTCCCCACTGCCCCTCCAAGACACTTGACGGAAAATAACTTGTCTCAGCGCAATGCGGAAATATACCAGACCGCCCGACACACACACACACACACAAACACGCACACACACAAACACACACACACACACAAACACACACACAAACACACACACACACATACATACACGAACACATTGAGTCCGCATGCGAAATCTACGACAGAGGCCTTCGGTAGAGCTCCCAATGAAGCCACCACTCGTGTGAACACTGTGCTGAAATGGTGGTGAGGGCGGCGGCAATTAGCCTGCGCCACAAAATCCTTCGGTGGAACTCCTTCTGGGCCCACGAACAATGAGGCAACGCTGAATTGGCTTAGGGCGGTGGCATGCGGCCTGTGCTCTATAGCTGGTTACTAAACACGTGAGCAGTGTGCAGACATGCTTGGACGGCGCAATGCGGCATGCACCACAAACGCCTTCGACGGGGTTCCCCATGGGGCCACGAACCCTGAGGAGGGTGTGCTGAATGGTCTGGACAGCGGCGTGCGGATTGCGCCTGAAGACCCTTCAGTGGAATGTCCTACTGTGGCCACGAATCGTGTGAGGACTGTTGAAGTGGTCAAGGCGGCGGCGTGCTGCCTGTGTCACAAGCGTTTTCGGCGGAACCCTCTCATGGCGTCACGAAACGCATGTGTCGCATGTCGGATCGACGTCAAAAAGGAGAAGGAGGAAAAGGAGGAGGAGGAGGAGGAGAACGAGGGGGGTGAGATGGGAGGCGTTAGGCCCGGCGTCATATGAGGCACGTCACCTCCGGGTGCTCCCTCCGCAGCTCCACCCCGTCCTCTTGCGGGTGCGCTCGCGGTCGGTCGGGCGGAGCGCCCCGCCCCTTCCCGCCTCTCGCCTTCCCTCCCCGCGGGGAGGACGGCAGGGAGGAGGGAGGACGAGGAGGGAGAGGAGGGAGGGAGGGAGGAGGGAGGGATGGAGGGAGGGAGAGAGGGAAGGGCAGGAGGGGGGAGGAGGAGGAGAAGGAGGAGGAGGAGGAGAGGAGGAGAGGCGGAGGAGGAATATGGGGAGGACGGAGGAGGAGGAGGAAGGTGTGGGAGGAGGAGGAGGAGGAGGAGGAGGAGGAGGAAGAGGAGGAGGAGGAGGAGGAGGAGGAGGAGGAGGGAGGAGGAGGAGGAGGATGGAGGAGGAAGGGAGGAGGAGTAGGGAGGGGAGGAGGAGGAGGAGGAGGAGGAGGAGGAGGAGGAGGAGGAGGAAGGAGGAGGAGGAGGAGGAGGAGGAGGAGGAGGAGGAGGAGAGGAGGAGGAGGAGGATGAGGAGGAGGGAGGAGGGAGGGAGGGAGGGAGGGGGGTGGGAGGGAGGGAGGGAGGGAGGGAGGGAGGGAGGGAGGGAGGAGGAGGAGGAGGAGGAGGAGTAGAGGAGGAGGAGGAGGAGGAGGGGGGAGGAGGAGGAGGAGGAGGATAAGGAGGTAGGAGGAGGAGGAGGAGGAGGAGGGGAGGAGGAGGAGGAGGAGGGGAGGGGGAGGAGGAGGAGGAGGAGGAGGAGGAGGAGGGGAGGAGGAGGAGGAGGAGGAGGAGGAGGAGGAGGAGGAGGAGGAGGAGGAGGAGGAGGAGGAGGAGGAGGAGGAGGAGGGAGGAGGACGGAGGGGAGGGGAGGGAGGGAGGGAGGGAGGGAGGGAGGGAGGCGGGAGGGAGGGGGGAGGGTGGGAGGGAGGGAGGGGAGGGAAGAGGGAGTATGAGGGAGGAGGAAGAGGAGGAGGAGGAGGAGGAGGAGGAGGAGGAGGAGGAGGAGGAGGAGGAGGAGGAGGAGGGGGGTAACATGAGCTGGAACCGGATATGCCACGATAGTGGACCCGCACGATCCTGGGCGGGGCGGACCATCGGGCCCCTACCAGCGATGAAAGGGCGATTGGGGGTCAATGCATCCCCACTGAGCCTACCCCCCTATCGTTGCCTCTAATGGGACGCGCAGAGACATACTAGTACTATATGTCCTCCTTGGAGGCGCGCGTCGGACCCGAACATATGGTATACCCATCTTGTAGTATATCGTTTCCCGAGCGGTGTGGGCGGAAAGCGCCCGCCACGACGCATATACTATAAGATTTCTCGGTGCGCGCGGGGGGGGGGAGGGGGGGGGGGCGACGCACATAGTGTAAGATGTTGGGGTGATGCCAACCTGAGAGCATCGAAGCCCCCTCCCTCGAGCTTCGCTTGGAACACGCAAGGGCCCCGAAATCAAGAGCCCACGCGAGCCTGGCCATTGACCTCCTCCTCGATCCTCCTGCCCCGCTATCCTCGACCCTACGCCCTCTGTTCGACCCTCCTCCCCGATCCTCCTCCTTCCCCTCCTCGATCCCCGAGCATCGATATTCAATCCTCCTGCTTCTCCTGATCCTCATCCTCGACCCTCCCCATATTCCCCCTCCTCCTCCTCCTTCTCCTCCTCCTCGATTCATGTCCATCCTCATCCCCATCATTCTCGATCCTCGATCCTCCTCCTCTTCCCCATCGATCCTCCGCCTCGTAGATCCAGGTCCTCGTCCTCTCTGTCCCTGATGTGCAAGCAATCTGCGCTGGCGAAAGAAGCGTGGTGTGGAGCACTGAACGCGAATTAAGCCACCATGCAAGAGGACGAACAACACACACACACACACACACACACACACACACGCACACAGCCATACCCATAGGGAGGACGGAGAGGGTTATGGGTGCATGCTGTCGGATGGGCCCCCCGCTCGAACGGGAGCCTCCCCATGGGGTCCTACAAGCGGACTTTATGGAAGAAGCAAAAGAGATAGTTCAAAATCTGCCGACCCTGTCGGCGTGTGGAAGAGGCTTTTCCGTTTGACTCGTCGTCGGGCTCTCCTCCTCGAGCGCGCCAGACACAGCGAAATTCAGCAACGTTGTAGTTGAGTCGAAGGGAAGCCCCTTCCTTCCCTTTGATCCCTTCCCCGCCGGGGGGGGAGGTCCCCGGGATGGGGTCCCGAGGAGGGTCCAAGGGTGGTCCTAGGGGGTTCCATTGGCAGATACGACTCCCCCACTCCCCGACGCTCCCGTTTCCCTGCCTCTCCTGACCCTCGTTTTCCTCTTTCGGCCACGGACGCGCTGCCCCAAAAACAGTTGGTCGTCCATCGTCGTCCATCGTCGTCGTGAGCGTCGTGGTCGTCATCTTCGTCGACGTGGTCGTCATCGTCTTCACGTCGTCAATGTCCACCATCAGCCTTTCCGGGGAACCACCCCGGACAAGAGTATGTGCATCCTCCCCATTGTTTTCCTCAACCTCGTGAGCCTCCCCATGCTCGCCATCTTCCTCCTCCGCCTCTTACTCCCGCTCCTCCTCGGCCTCGGGCTCCTCCTCTTCATCCCCTTCCTGATCCCCCTCATTACCATTGCCATCATCCTCACATTCCTACTCCTCCTCCAACTTCTCCTGCCGCCGGTTTTACCCCCCCCCACCCTCAACGACATCATCATCGTCATCATCACCGAGATCATCCGCGTCGTCGTCATCATCGTCAACATGCTGGTCATTGCTTTCCTCCTCCGTCTCCTGCTGCTCATGCTCGCCACGCTCTACCCACCGCTGCCCCTCCTCCTTGTCAACCGTCCTTCTCCTGCAAATGCGTCCCTGCTCGCCTCGCTCTCCCCCCTGCTCTCCCCCCTCCTCGTCTTCCCCTCCTCGTCCCTCTCCCCACACTCCTCGTCCTCCTCCTCCCCCTCGCACCTCCTCCTCCTCCTCCTCCTCCTCCTCCTCCTCCTCCTCCTCCTCCTCCTCCCCCCTCCTGCTCCCTAGCGTCCTCTGCAACTTGATCCTCAACATCACCGTCGTCCTCGTTGTCGCCGTCTTCAGGGTCGGCGGCACCGGCCGTAAGGCCCTCGCAACAATCCAATACTAATCAAAAGAGCACGGCAAATCGACCCAAGACTATTTGGGGACCATTTTTGAATACTCTTCCTGCAGAGGGACATGCCCGACTTGTCACAACCCGCACCCACACACCCCGCACCCTCCGACATCACCCTACGGGTATGGGCGTGTGTTGTTCGCTCGTCAGCTCCTCCTCCTTTCTTACGTGAAACCAACCTACAGGAGTGTGGCGTTTTTCCTCCTCCTCCTCCTTTTCCTCCTCTTCCTCCTCCTCCTCCTCCTCCTCTTCCTCTTCCTCCTCCTTTTCCTCCTCTTCCTCCTCCTCCTCCTCCTGTTCCTCCTTTTCCTCCTTTTCCTCCTTTTCCTCCTCCTCCTCCTCCTCCTCCTCCTCCTCTCGATCCTGGCGCCTTGCCCGCCGCCCCGCCCCCCAAGGGGCCCCGAGGCGCCCCGCCCCACCCCGCGCGGTCCGCGTAGAGCTTGCCCTTGAAGGCCACCGGCGGCGGCAGGTCCTCCAGCAGGCGGGCGGCCGCAGCCGGCCGGCGGCGCAGGGGCGGGGCCGCGGAGGCGGAGAGAGAGAGAGAGAGGGCGAGAATCGAGGATTGATTCGTCAGCGCCTTCTGTTCTGGAGGAGGAGGAGGAGGAGGAGGAGGAGGAGGAGGAGGAGGGGGGGGGGGGGGCGGGCACGAGGGAGGGGGCGACAGGGGCTCTCGAGCAGCACGCGCACTCCTCGGCGAGGCGCGGCGGAGACTGCGCAGCGGCTTCATTCGCAGCAGCGTGCCAGAAGATGATGGTGATGAGGCAGATGATGCTCAGAAAAATGGAGATGTGTTTCTGGTTATGTTTACCGTCTCATGACGGAGAAAACGCTCCGTCGACCCCAGCAACCGAGACGGTGCAATAGATCGCCTTCAGTACATAAGCGCCTGACATGTCATGCAGCCACTCTGGCTCGGAACTCTTCCATAAGTTAAGATGTAATGCAGCAGACTTCCAATATATATATATATATATATATACATATATATATATAATGAGAGAGAATGCTGAAACATAAATATTTTCATAGTGCCATGGTGAAAACCAACCATGGCCTTGTTTGTCCAAGAAGATGTGCAAAGCCAAACGGCCCTCGGAATGACAGTTCCATCTGAATACTTGGCAAAAAAAAAGCTCCGCGGAACTGTCAATGAGCTGGTCGACGTGCCCAAAATATCGGCACGTGCGCCGAAACACAATCGCATCCAAATCCGCCGACCCGTTGTGGGTCTCCAGGCGTGTTCAGTTCCCCCCCTCTAGTCCCCCCCAGGGACCCCAAATGGGAATTGACCCCTCCCCCGGCCATGGCCGCCGCGGACGACCCCAGCACGAGCGCGTCATGGGGCCATAAAAGGCCCCAAACGGGCCAAGACGGTCCAAGAGAGCTTCAAGACGCTGAACGATTATTCCAAGCCGCCAAAGCTTGTTTCGAAACGGCCCAATACGCCCCGAAGATGCTGCCAGAGGCCGCCAAGAAGTTTCCCAAGGAGGCCCCAACAGGCAAACATCGTCCCATTCCAGAAGGGAAACGTTACAAGTTTAGCAGATTCGCTTCCTTGGCTTCCATAACGTCGAAAACGGCCCCATGGGGCTCAAAAGTCGGCGCAAGACGGCCCATAAGGCTCCCGAGACGGTTTCCAGACGGCCAAAAAAGGCACCAGGACGGCCCATGAGGCCCCCCAAACGGCTAAGAACGGACCCGGAACGGCTTCGAAAGGGGCCCAGAGGGCACACCCAAACGGACGCTGCCAGCCTTCGGCCCCGAGAAGTCCCCCCAAAACCACTCAATGGCCCCAAAAGGCCGCTAAGACGCCTCCCAAGAGGTCCCCACGAGGTTCAAACACTGTTTCCACGAGGCCCCCCAGAAGCCTCCCATGAGACCCCATCAGCCACCCGGGTGGCATCTCACCCACAGCTCACGCACGGTGACAAATGCGCCGGAGCCTAATCCATGTATCTCCCTTATTTGTTTCCTCTTCCCCCCCCCCCTCATCATCATCATTCTCCTCTTTCTCCCACGCCATATTCCTCGTCCTCCTCCGCCTTTTCTTCCTCCTCCTCCTCCTCCTCCTCTTCCTCCTTCTCCTCCTCCTCCTCCTCCTCCTCCTCCTGCCCCTTCCTCCCCCTCCTCCTCCTCAGCAGTCTCATTGCCACCGTCGTATTAAACCCTCTCGATATGTCCCAATCCTCGTCCCCCATCCAACTTCTTCTCCTCCTCCCTCTCCCACGTCATCGTCCTCCCCCTCCTCTGCCTCCTCCTGCTCGTCCTGCTCCTATCCTTCTCCTCTTGCTCCTCCCCCGCACTCCCATTATCATTTTCCTCCTCCCCCATCTCGCCCCTTATTTGCACGATGTGCTTTTCAACGCACCGTCTTTGCAGCGCAAGCGACATTGTCAGCCGTCACGGGGAACGCCGACGTCGGTAGCCAAAACAAATACTCAAAAAATCGTCCCGAGACTAGTGTTTGTCTTTTTGGAAGATCCCTCCTGTAGAAGGACACGCCCGACTTAACCCTAAATCATCACCCCTCGGAAATCTTCTGACCCGGGTCAACCCAGGCCCGGGTCAGTCAGACCTTGCGAGATCCTGCAAGATCCTGCCGGATGCTGCACCCAAACCCGGGTCCATGTGACCCCGGCCCTGCAGGATCCTGCAGGGTCGGGCGCTCTGGCTGACCCCCGTTTGCACTGACCCGCACCTCAAGGCTCCCGCGGATCCCCCTCTCCTGCCCGCTCCCGGCCCTCTCAGGATAGCTCCAAACAATACACCACCACCAGCCCTGGCCAGGCCCATCCTGGGCCCTTGACTGGTGCACAGGTTCTCCTGGCCTAGGCCTGGAGGTCTATACACCAGTCCAGGGCCCAAGATGGACCTGGCCATGGCTGGTGGTGGTGTACTGTTGGCGTCCCTCCGACCTCTCTCTCTTGAGCAGGGACCGACCGTCCCGGCATTCCTATAGGCCTACCACGAAATGTTCTTAGAACCCCAAAATTGGAATAGCAAAAACAATATTCTTAGAACATAAGCCCGATGTGATAAAACAAGACAGACTCCGCCAGAAATGTTCTAAGAGCATCTCGTGGAAACCACAAAAGGTTCTTAGAACATTGCTTGGTAGGGCTACAGGCGAGCCAGGACGCTTCGCCACTGCTTGACCATGGCTGGTGGTGGTGTGCTGTTGGCGTCCCTCCGACCTCTCTGATGGGCCTGTTTTCCACCACCACCACCATAACTTGGAGGGGGGAAGGAGGAGGAGGAGGAGGAGGAGGAGGAGGAGGAGGAAGAGAAGGAGGTAGAGGAGGAGGAGGAGGAGGAGGGGAGGAGGAGGAGGGGGAGGAGGACACCCTCCCCCTCCAACTCGTGGTGGTGGTGGTGGTGGTGGAAAACAGGCCCACCACTCTCTCTCGGCGGCGCCCGCGCAGCTCGCCCCCCCCCGCAGCGCGGCGCCCGCGGCGCCCGCGGGAGCGCCCGGCGCCCGCGGCAGCGCCCCGCCCCGAGGCCCCCGCCCGCGGGGGCCTCGAGCCGAGGCGGTGCGCCTCGCCGTCGTGCGATTGCAAAAAGGATTGGAAAAAAACAGTTGTTTTGCAATCCTTCGGTTTTTTTTGCAATCCGGGTTTTTGTTTTGCAATCCTGTTTTTTGTTGCAACCCTTGGTTTTTTTGCAAAGCCCTCCGCCCGCCCTCGCTCCGCCGCCGCCCCGCCCTCCTGCTGCGGCAACGGTACAATCAAGAACCCTGACGGCGATGCACCGGCGATGCACCGGCGATGCGTTTGCGGCTTCCGCGTGGAGAAGATCGGGCTCCGCATCGGGCCACATCGGAGATGCATCGGCGATGCGGCGCGGTCCTCCGACCCCATCTGCTCCGACCCCACTCAGGAGGCCTAACATCGGGGATGGACAGAACCCCCTTTAGTAAAACGTGGTTTAGGGAAAACGACATCGGGCCCAAACCTGGCAGGCGCAAGCCTGGAAAATGCCGGCCGCGGCACCCTCTCGAGAAACGAAGACGGACAGTTCACTAATCGACGTGTCAGGGTGGGGGCTCTGTCCACCCCCGACAGAATCAAAAACGCCTAGTAAGGACGCGCGGTAAGGACGCAAGACCCTTGGAAGCCGAAATTGGGATTTCTGGGGCGGCGGACGACGGAAACCCTAAGACGGAACCAGGGAAGGACGGAGACGCAAGAGCCAGGAAGAGCAAGGACGCAAGGGTACCCTGAGCAAAGTCGCGCGTCCTTCTTAGGGTTTTTGACTGTAGAGGGCAGAAGAACCACCCCGAAAATAACCGCCCCGACACGCGAGGCCTTCAGGAAACGCGCCCAGCGAAGGAATCGAACAGGGCAGGGCCGTTTCGTACACGCCGAGAGCCGTTTAGGAAAAACGCCAGTTGTCCGGTGCGGGTGGCTTTTTCCTCCCTTGAAACGAGGGCCAACTGGGAGAAGACGGCCCACGGCGTCGCCGAAGCATCGGGAGCGGCCACGAGGGGGGTGTCCAAGAGGGGGGGTGCAAATCATGACCGTCGGCATGTCCGCGGCCCAGCGGGGGGGCCAGGGACGTAATGAAATAAGAAGAAGCGCCATGAAATCTGGGGAAATATCATGGCCCCCGCCATGATATCCATCCCCCCCCCTAAGTCATCACCCCCCTCTCTTCCGCCCCCGAAAGCACCCCTGGCAGCTCGAGCCTCCCGGGGGAGCGGCTCGGGGTCGGGAGGCGACTCCTGCAGGAGGCCTTCGTGGGAAGACGGCCCACGGCGTCGCCGAAGCACCCCATGGCAGCTCGAGCCCTGGGGACCGGCTCTCGGGGTCGGGGAGAGACTCCCGGGAGGCCTTCGTGGGAGCGGTTTGATTCAAGGGGCCCAAGGACACACACACACATATAAATACACACAAATGAAACGATTCCTCATATTTTCCTATATTTTCTTGGTTTTTGTCTTCCCGCGAAATTCCCATATTTTCCCATATTTTAATTGTGTCTGTGTGTTTCTTTCCCTCCTGATGATGGGGAGCAAGAGGTCCGCCCTCGACAGAAGCACCCCGGCCAGCGGAGCTGTTCGGTAGGTCATCGCACCCCAGGAGGGAGTCGTACGCGACAGGGCTGCTCCGTCAACGCCCAGAGTCGTCTAGTGACCGCCAAGTGTTGGGGTCGGGGTGGTTTTTGCCTCGAGATCAGGGGCTAACGTGCTCGAAAAGAGGGCCGAGCCGGATCGGGCTGGATTAAGCCCGGGATAAAACGGGATTGGCCGGAATTAAGCCAGAGTGAGCGGGATTGAGTCGAAGTTGCCAGGATTGTGTCGGATTTGGCCTAGGTTTGACAATGGACATACCAGCGCCGACACTGAATTTAACCCGCCAGGAATGTCGTCCGAATCAGTGGGGGAACATCTCGAGACAGGGACCAGCTCAGGGGCGGCAGGCCCGTGCTCGCGTCACGCGCACGCTCACAGAAACATGGAGCCTGCAGAGGGGCCAATTGATGAGTCGGCTCGCATCAGGAGACCCAGTATGATGGAGCCCGACTTCGACGTGGCCTGGGGTCTGTGCACAAGGTCCAGAAGTGTCGTGCGAGGCGGCTGGAGCAACAAGAGCAAGGCTGGTCCCCGGCTTCGACGCGGCTCACGATCTTGTCGATCCACTGGGCGCTCTCCTCGGGATTCCTCGAGCCGTGGCACGTCCAGAAAACCTCTGCTGAGGGCTGGCAGAAGTGGAGGGTGACCCTGGGCCGCAACAACTCACAAGTGGCAGAGAAGACAAGCGAAAGCTGCATAAAAGAGCCGGTCGAGGGACGCACTGGGGGTGGGCGCGGATACGACGATGACGGCGGGAGGTGGCCGAAGGCGCCAGGCAAGAGGAAGGGTAGAGGGATGAAGCGTGAGGAGGGCATGGAGGGATGACGCACTTACATAAAGGCCATGAGGCGGTGGAGGAACAAGCTGGAGACGAAGAGAGCTGCTTACAAAGTGCAGAGATCTGCAGCATCTGAGCCCGAGGCAAGGGGAGGCACGTGACGCCGTGGGCATGCTGAGCTGTGCCCATGGCATGCTGAGCCGTTACGTCGAAATGCCTCTCGACGAACACACACACACAAGCAGAAACATAGAAACTTGCAGAGGTCCGCGCGGGCTTTTCCTCGGACTGGCGCTGGGCCCCCCTTCCCTGGCGCACGGAGCTCGCCAAAGGGCAGCGTCGCAGGCGATCCGAGAAATCTGGGCGGGCGTCCAGGAACTTTCTGCAAATGTTTCTGCTTCGAGCCTCCACGACCAGTGCGACGCGTTACTGCACCGACCTCGCAGACGTGCTGCAGCGGATTTGTGCTGCTCACTTCGGTACTCCATGGTGGAGTTTAGACAAAAAGGCATAGACATAGACTGTTGGCGCTCCGAGCGGATTTCTTGGATCTGCGCTGGACCCCCCTCCCTGGCGCGTGGAGCGCGCCAGGGGCGGCGCCAGAGGCGCCGCCAGGGGGGGGCCCAGCGCGGATCCAAGAAATCCCCGCGGAGCGCCAAAAGTTTATGTTTGTGTGTTTTTCCCTACCTAGGCTCTGCCTAGAAGGGTTCTTACTGTCTTCGCTTAAAGGGGCCGGGCAGTGTAACCCGCCCCAGGCGGTTCCCCCAGTCCCCTGGGAGCCAAGCAAAAGCAACAGCAAAGGTAAAAGCAAACGCGCGGCTCCCCCAGTTGCGCTCCGTAGGTGCCAAGCAACAGCAAAAGCAAAGGCAAAAGTGAAGGCAATGCAAAAGCATAGATAGCATAGCATAGCATAGCATAGCATAGCATTAGCGCAGCATAGCATAGCGCAACATAGCATAGCATGGCATAGCCTAGCCTAGCATAGCCTAGTCCAGCATAGCATTGCGCAGCATAGCATAGCATAGCATAGCATTGCAGAGCAGAGCATAGCGCAGCACAGCATCCACTATTGCTGCCGCCCAAACTAATGTTGCTTTCCTAGAGGCTCCAACTCCTAGGTAGGATCGCACTGGGATAATTGCTCTTCTTCGAGTAATGGAGAGGGGGCCCAACGCACAGGCCAGACAAACATGCGGCGCCAAGGGGCGCAAGACGGAACGCCCACGCTCGATAGGGGCATGGGGTCGACGATGCTCTCACTCCTGCCTCAACGTCTTCTCCCCCCCTGCCACTTTCGCCCTTCTCGGTAGAGCCAGACCGTTCACTCACATAGGTCTCCGAGAAGCACGCTGTCCCTGCCAGCACCCCACCCTTGAAGCAGGGGCAGCGCCCAGCGTAGATTGGCGTCTGGGAACCCCAAAAACACCTATATACTTTCAACGACCAACGTGCACGTACGTGTATGTGGTCGACATCTCTGCACCGCCAGCCGTACGTTTAGGTCGGGCCTGTCCACCTACAGGGGGATTTTTGGCAAAAATGGAAAATACTCAGAACATGCTCAAAAAACGCTCCAAAAGAGTCAGAAAATCGTTCACCGACTATGTTTTCATACTATTGTTGACTGTCCCACCTGTAGACGGACAGGCCCGACTTAACCGTACGTGCACCCCGCTAGCTCCACCCCTCGTCCGCAAAGGGCGGGGCGCAGGCCTTCGGCGCACCCGCGGGGTGGAACCGGCGCTCGCCCTCCACTGGCCCGCGGGGCCTCCATTGCTCGCTCTGACCCGCCGCCCTCGCCGCTCTCTCTCCGCCACCCTTTGCCCTGTTCATCCTTCTCCTCCTCCCTGCTCTTCCTCCTCCTCCTCCTCCTCCTGCGCCTTCTCCTCCTCCTCCTCCTCCTCCTCCTCCTCCTCCTTCTCCTCCTCTCCTCTCCTCTCCTCTCCTCTCCTCCCCTCTCCTCCCCTCCCCTCCCCTCCCCTCCCCTCACTTCCTCTCCCTCCTCTCCTCCTCCCTCCTCCTCCTCCTCCTCACCCCTCCTCCTCCTCCTCTTCCTCCTCCCCCTGCTCCTGCTGCTGCTCCTCCTCCTCGAGTTCCTCCTCCTCGATGTTCTTCTCCGTCTCCTCCTCCTGCTCCTCCTCCTTCTCCTCCTCCTCCTCCTCATCTTCTCATCTCCTCATCCTCTCGTCTCCTCATCTCCTCTCCTCTCCCCTCCTCTCCTCTCATCTCATCTCTTCTACTCACCTCGCCTCGCCTCGCCTCGCCTCGCCTCACCTCGACCCTCCTCTCCTCTCATCTCTTCTCTGCTCGCTTCTCCTCTCCTCTCATCCACGTCCTCTTATCCTTTTCTTCTCTTCTCCTCTTCATCTTCTCTTCTCCTCTTCTCCTCTTCTCCTCCTTCTACTCCTTCTCTTCTCCTCTTCTCCTCTTCCTCGTCTCCTCCTCCTCCTCCTCCTTCCCCACTCTGCCCCGCCACCGCGGCGCAACTTTCCACCATCTGTTCGTTTGGGGAAGAAATACAGGCGCGATCTAACCGACCCCTGCAACACCATCCCCTTCCGTGACGTCACCCTCGCCTTCTAAGTTTCAAGCCTCCCTCCAGCCGCATACATACGCCTTGGGGCAAGGCGAGGGGGACGTCACGGAAGGGGATGGTGTGCTGGGGGTCGGTTGGGCCCCCCCTGAGAGGTGCAGGAGGAGGAGGAGGAGGAGGAAGAGGAGGAGGAGTAGGAGGAGGAGGAGGAGGAGGGGGGAACCTGTAACCTGGGCGTTGCACTTTCCCACGCAACGCGTTTGCACTCGTTTTCGGGGTTCGGGGCCCTCACGGATCGATCAGGCTCGGAACATGATCAAAGATCCAATTTCTGAACCGGGTCAGTCCAGACCCAGATCAGTCAGGCTCTGCAGGAGGAGGAGAAGGAGGTGGATCCTGCAGAATCCTGCAGGGTCCTGCACCCAAGCCCTGGCCAATGCACCCCCTGGCTCTGCCGGATTCTGCAAGACCGGGCGCTCAGGCTGACCCCCGTTTGCACTGACCCCCGTCTCTTGAGCTGGGAGGAGGAGGAACCTCTAATCTGGGCGCTGCCAATTGTTTGCAACAAACACGTTTGCGCTCGCTGTCCAGTTCCAGGACCCGAGCAGATCGATCTGGCTCGGAGCATGACGCCGAAAGCTGGGGCCCTGCGCTCCGCAGATCTCAGGGGAGAGCAAGGGAGCCAAGGACAATCCCAAGACCAACGCCCCACAGTTCAGCGCACCGCGGTGCAGTGGAGAAGCGGACAAATTGCGGTCGCACAACACAACATCGGTCTCTACCGAGCGCCACATCGCCGATGCATTGGCGATGCGGAGCGATTTTACCCAACCCCACCTAGGAAGGGGAACGACAGGGAGAACTAGCTCGCGGCGGGGGAAACAATTATCACCAACAGTCCGGCGATTGGCCCTATCGGGCCCGATCGGCGTTGACCAGCCTGTCGGCCCTATCATGATGACTGGCCTCTCGGTCCTGTGGGCCATGACTAGAGGAATAAAAAATAAACATGAACTTTTGGCGCTCCGCACTGATTTCTTGGATTTGCGCCAGATCCCCCTCCCTGGCGCGCGGACCGCGCCAAGGGCCCCCAGCGCAGATCCGAGAAATCCGCGCGGAGCGTTGCGAATTCATGTTTGTGTGTTTTCTTCCTCGAATGACGGCCCTCTCGGCGCTATCTGTTGAGCAGGGACTGACCGTCCCAGCATTCCTATAGGCCTACCACGACATGATCTTAGAACCCAAACATGTTCCAATAACAAAGCAATGTTCTTAGAACATAGCGCCGATGTGTCAAAGCAAGAGAGTCCCAGCCAGAAATGTTCTAAGCACATTTCGTGGAGACCACAAACAGGTTCTCAGAACCTTGCTTGGAAGGCCCACTGGCACGCCAGGACGCTCCGCTGCTGCTTGAATCTGGCCCATCGGGGGGGGGCGATGCCTCCCTCCCTGAGACTATTACCCCCTTCCTCTCCTCCCTCCTGCTCCCTCCTCCTCCTTCTCCTCCTTCTCCAGCTCCCTCCTCCTCCCTCCTCCTCCTCCTCCTCCTCCTCCTCCTCCTCCT